CCTCGAGTTCCCTGGTAAGGCCCTCAACAAGGCTTTCCAAAAGTTCGTCGAGGAGAACGTGGCCAAGGGTGACGTTGCTCTTCTGAAGGCTGCATTGGAGCCTCTTGCTGATGTTATCACCCGCTACTCGGAGGGTCTCAAGGCACACGAGTACAGCGTCATGATCAGGCTCTTGGAGATGTACTGGTCTGTTGAGTCCCTCTTCTCATCTCGTACGTCGCGTGACGAGGAAGTCATCCTCAAGCTTCGTGATGAGAACCGTGATAACATCATGAGCGTCGTGCAGACTGTTCTCTCCCACGCCAAGGTTGGTGCTAAGAACAACCTCGTAATTGCCATTCTCGAGCTCTACCGACCCAACAAGCCTGGTGTCGGAAACATTGCCAAGTACTTCAAGGACACTCTGAAGAAGCTCACAGAGCTTGAGTCCAGACAGACTGCCAAGGTCTCTCTCAAGGCCCGTGAGGTCCTCATTCAGTGTGCTATGCCTTCGCTTGAAGAACGCACTGCGCAGATGGAACACATCCTGCGCTCTTCCGTCGTTGAGTCTCGCTATGGCGAGAGCGGATGGGACCACCGTGAGCCCAACTTCGAAGTAATCAAGGAAGTTGTCGACTCTAGGTACACTGTGTTCGACGTGTTGACACAATTTTTCGTCCACTCGGACCCATACGTCGCTCTTGCTGCGCTTGAGGTGTACACTCGCCGAGCTTACCGCGCGTACCAGCTGCAAAACATCAACTACCACAACGAAGGCGAGCAGCAATCTTTCTTGTCTTGGGACTTCATCCTGCGCAAGGTTGGTGAGGCCGAGTACGGTCTCGCTGTTGAGCCCTCTGAACCTGGTACCCCTAGCACGCCCGGGTTTGAGCGTCCTCCTCGCATCCAGTCATTGAGCGATATGACTGCTTGGCAAAACCGATTCGAAGGCGAGCCTACCAGGAAGGGTGTTGTCGTCCCTGTTGAGTACCTTGATGACGCGGACGAGCTCATCAGTAAGGCGCTCGACATCTTCCCCAACCTTGGCAAGGAGAAGAAGGGCGGTATTGGTCTGAGGGAGGGCCTCACTATGAAGCGCACCCCTACCACAGGTATCAACGAGCCCAAGCATAGCGACGAGCTCACCGGTGTTCTTAACATCGCTGTCCGCGACATTGAAGGCACCGACGACAAGGAAATCTTGGACCGCATCTTGCCTATCGTCGATGACTTCAAGCAGGAGCTTCTGTCTCGTCGCATCCGCCGAATCTCTTTCATTTGCGGCCACAAGGACGGAACATACCCTGGCTACTACACCTTCCGTGGACCCACATATGAGGAAGATGCCAGTATCCGTCACGTCGAGCCCGCTCTTGCCTTCCAGCTCGAACTTGGCAGACTCTCCAAGTTTGACATCAAGCCAGTCTTCACTGAGAACCGCAACATCCACATCTATGAGGCTGTTGGCAAGGGCGCCGAGAGCGACAAGCGCTACTTCTTGAGGGCTGTCGTCCGATCAGGCCGTCTTCGCGAGGAGATTCCTACAGCGGAGTACATGGTGTCTGAGACTGATAGGTTGATGACTGACATCTTGGATGCTTTGGAAATCGTTGGCACTTCGCAAGCCGACATGAACCACATCTTCATCAACTTCTCACACGTCTTCCCTCTGAACCCTACTGAGGTTGAAGAGGCCATTGGCGGTTTCTTGGAGCGCTTTGGTCGACGACTCTGGCGTCTCCGTGTCACTGGCGCTGAGATCCGCATCATTGTCACCGACCCTGCGACTGGCATCCCTTACCCTCTCCGTGTCATCATCACTAACACTTCTGGATACGTTATCCAGGTGGAGATGTACGCTGAGCGCAAGTCCGAGAAGGCTGGCAAGTGGCTCTTCCACAGCATTGGTGGAACTACTAAGATCGGTGCTCTTCACCTTCAGCCCGTCTCAACTCCTTACCCCACCAAGGGAGCTCTGCAGCCCAAGAGGTACAAGGCTCATCTCATGGGTACTCAGTATGTGTACGACTTCCCTGAGCTCTTCCGCCAGGCTACCGAGAACAGCTGGATCGAGGCTATCAAGAAGCACTCATTCCTCCGTGACAGGCAGCCAGCAAAGGGAGAGTGCCTCGAGTACTACGAGTTGGTGCTTGATGACACTGACAACCTGGCTGAGGTCAACCGTGATCCTGGCCACAACAACATTGGTATGGTCGGTTGGATGGTCACCGCGAAGACACCTGAGTACCCCCGTGGTCGCCGCTTCATCATCATCGCCAACGACATCACTTTCAAGATTGGTTCATTCGGTCCGGCGGAGGATGCTTTCTTCCACAAGTGCTCTGAGCTTGCACGAAAGCTCGGCATTCCGCGAATCTACCTCTCTGCCAACTCTGGTGCTCGTATCGGTCTTGCTGAGGAGCTCATTCCTCACTTCTCTGTTGCATGGAAGGACATCAACAAGCCCGAGGCTGGTTTCGACTACCTCTACCTGACACCTGAGAAGTACGAGCACTTTGTTGATGGTAAGCGCAACGACGTTATCTGCGAGCCGGTTGAGGTCGATGGCGAGAAGCGCTTCAAGATCACTACTGTCATTGGTGCTGAGGACGGTCTTGGTGTTGAGTCGCTTCGTGGTTCTGGTCTCATTGCTGGTGAGACTTCAAGAGCTTACGAGGACATCTTCACCATTACTTTGGTGACTTGTCGCTCAGTTGGTATGTACCCTTACTTCATTTCACTTGTGCAAATACTAAAACCATATAGGTATCGGTGCTTACCTTGTTCGTCTTGGTCAGCGTGCTATCCAGATCGAAGGACAGCCAATCATCCTCACAGGTGCACAGGCTATCAACAAGCTACTTGGTCGTGAAGTCTACACTTCTAACCTTCAGCTCGGTGGTACTCAGATCATGTACAGGAACGGTGTCTCGCACTCGACTGCCGACGATGACTTTGAGGGTGTCTCCAAGATTGTCCAGTGGATGTCTTACGTACCTGACAAGAAGGGCAGCCCCGTCCCTATCTCGCCATCAGCCGACAACTGGGATCGTGACATCACCTACTACCCTCCTGGCAAGTCTGCCTACGATATTAGGCATCTGATCGCCGGAAAAGAGGACGAAGACGGTTTCCAGTCTGGTCTCTTCGATCGCGGTTCGTTTGTCGAGACTCTTGGTGGCTGGGCTAAGACTGTTGTTGTCGGTCGTGCTCGTCTCGGTGGCATTCCTATCGGTGTCATCGGTGTCGAGACACGTTCAGTTGAGAACGTCACACCTGCAGACCCCGCCAACCCCGACTCTATCGAACAAGTCACATCCGAGGCTGGTGGTGTTTGGTACCCCAACTCTGCCTTCAAGACTGCTCAAGCTATCAAGGACTTCAACAATGGTGAGCAATTGCCACTGATGATCCTTGCCAACTGGCGTGGTTTCTCTGGTGGTCAGCGTGACATGTACAACGAGGTTCTCAAGTACGGTTCTTACATTGTCGACGCACTCGTCAAGTTTGAACAGCCCATCTTCGTTTACATTCCTCCGTACGGCGAACTCCGTGGTGGATCCTGGGTCGTCGTTGATCCCACCATCAACCCTCAATTCATGGAGATGTACGCCGACGAGGACTCGCGTGGTGGTGTACTGGAGCCCGAAGGTATCGTCGGTATCAAGTACCGCAAGGAACGCCAACTGGACACAATGGCCCGCAACGACCCTACCTACGGTGCTCTTAAGCGCAAGTTAAATGACAAGGCAACACCAGAGGCCGAGCTCCAGGACATCAAAGCCCAGATGACTGAGCGCGAGAAGAAGCTTCTACCTATCTATGGTCAAATCGCCATCCAATTCGCCGATCTGCACGACCGCGCTGGCCGTATGCAAGCCAAGGGTGTCATTCGACAAGCTCTCCGATGGCAAAACGCCCGCCGGTTCTTCTACTGGCGTCTTCGCCGCCGTCTCAACGAGGAGTACATCCTCAAGAAGTTCGCCGCTGCTGCCTCGCCCACGCACGACAACCCTCAGGCCAACTCACTCACCCGCAGCCGTGGCTTCGAGATGTTGAAGCACTTGTCCAACATCCCCAACTGGGAGCAAGACGACATGGCCGCGGCGACCTGGTACGAGGAGAACAGGCCACTCGTCAGCGACAAGATCGAGCAACTCAAGACCGATGGCATTGCGCTCGAGATTGCGCAGCTCATGCGCAAGGACCGCGAGGGTGGACTCAAGGGTGTCATGAGCTTGCTCAGCACACTGCCTACCAGCGAGAAGGAGGAGGTAATCAAGATGTTGAGCAGGGCTTAGTAAACGTATCAATGTTTGCGTGTTTTCATTCGCTTACGGCATGGCATGGCATTTGGGGGTGTTTCAAACTTTTCTGGGAAGGAATTGGGATGGCGATATGTGTGTGGTGTAACTTTAGCGTTGCTACGGTGCGACTGCGTTTTTCGTATATTCCCCTTTTTGCTACCAGAGCATACTAGTTTAGTTGCATTGGTGAGGAATCAGGCGGGTGTTGGGAGGCACCCTTCCTGTTTTTCCTCATGATGTGTAATTGATCTTCAAGTTCAAAAATCATGCCTTCGTACGTTTGTGCTAGTGCTTTTCTCATTCCACGATCCATATGACTTCGCTTCGTTATCATAGTCACATTCGTATGACTAGAGATCACCCACTATGTTCTTTGCTTGCTTTTTTACGGCTACGGGCTCCTTCCGTCCTTGTGTTGTTATAGCGTGGGAGCATGCGGATCGCCGACTCCACTTTCAGCTGCGGGGTTCCGCCGCGCGGATACGTCACCAGGCCGCAAATACAGCCCGAGCAGAAAAATCCAAGCCAAGAATTTTTTGATGTGGATTGGGAGGCATCAGTTCTTCTCTTTCTCTTCCCTCATCCCCATCATACTATCCCACGCTTTACTATACATACGCGAACTTCCACTGCTAAACGAGCCGAAGAAGCTTGACCAATCGTCGACACACCAGTAAAACTCGAGACAAAAGAGGCAGAAATAAGATAATCAAAATGGTCTACACAATCGTCGTTCACCTGCTCGCCAAGGAAGACCAAGAAAGCATTAACAAGCTGAGCGCTAAGCTTGTCGAGGCTAGCCAGGTGTACAGCAAGGACAAGGAGACATTGAGCTGGTTTGTTATGCAGGACACTGTCGATAAGAGGAAGTTCACTATCGTTGAGCGGTATCTGAAGGAATCTGTGAGTTAGATCATCTCCTTAATTTTAAGCTCATTGAAGACTGGTTGCGAGTGGTGACTGGTGCCGCTAAAAGACCGCAAGAGAGGGGTTTCGCGTGCACTTTGATTCTGGAAATCACCAGACCTCAGATGTGCTATTGAAGAAACGGCAAACTACATTGGAACTTACTAATAGTCTTTGCAGTCTCAACAATACCACCTGAACAACCCCTACTGGAAGACTTTCGACCCATACGTGATTCCTTTGTTGGCCGCACCCATGGATCTGAGGCGCCTGGAAGAGTTGGACACGACTGTCACGAGCGCGGGTGCGCATTACCATGAAGACGCTGTAAAGACGGAGACCAGTGTTGGCGATATGTACAAGGGAACTGACGCTTAGACTGGAAAATACACCTTGTCACGTCGAGTTGAAGAAATGTAAAGAAATCGAATTTAGCCTTTGCTGCCGAACGTGACTTTTGGATCGTAGGAGATGAGTGCAACTAAGCAAAGTGAAAAGAATTCCTGAGCCTATTTACTCAGAGAGCCATTGATATACGGCTTCGCTGATGACCTCTTCACGCCACACATACCGCTATCTTTTCTTTCCGAACCCATCTTCCATCACACAGATTGGCATATATAGTGAGTTTCTAGCCAGACTCCGCCATGGATCGACGTAGTCATTGACACCTTGGAATGACGTCGAAGCATTCTTTGGCTTCAGTGAGCAGAGTGATTGATAGCTAGGAATTCTCAAGGAAATAGCTCTACTTTGATGAAGCATCACTTGGCCATTCTCTTGCGGAGAAGGCTCATTAGGATTATCGTAATACATAATCCTTCCAAGGCTTTTCGATTTCGACTATGACAGGCGCTAGTCATATTCATAACCATTATATTGGTTGTTGTTCACTGAAAGGGGGAATCAGGGCTTTGGTTCGAGTGCAGTAAGTCATTGTGCCGTATTGCCAATGTTGCACAACTGCGATGTAACAAGTCTGTCAAACATCGCCCTCTTACACTCCTTCTTCTTTCAAAAGAATATGATGATATGAGAGGCTATCCTCATTTTTCTGGAGCCGAAATCAGAGCGAAGATAGTTATGAAGGGATCCAGCTATGCCAGGTTTGAAGTTTTGGAGAAGTGATTGTGGATGAGTAGGCTCTCGAGCAAGACCAGCCATGATTTCCACAGTGACTGAACAACGTTTCATTCCTACTTCAGGCCGGAGAATGTCTCTTAATTCTGTTTCGATTTCATCCATCGGTAGAGATCTCGAGATGGACGTTCGTCCAGACATCCATCAATAATATGAAGAAGTATCAACACTTGAGATGTTCTCTATTGGTATCAATGCACAGGGTCTGGTACCCGATAAAATCTTCACTGCCTTGTAAGCGACACTGAACATTTGAGGATCTTCACTGACTCCGTGAAAAAAAGGCCTGAATCATTTCATTCTGAGTTGTAGAAACCAGTCGAAAGGGAACAAGACAGCCAAGACAATCTGATCCAAGATCACTCAGCTGTTGATTGGAATTTCGGTAACAAGCCGGATTTTGGCCAGCTCAGGTTACATAATGAAGTCTCCATGGCACTTTCGGCTAGTAGTTTAGTTCCGATTATTGGTATTGGAGAAACACAGTAGGCGCAACTTTCTCCCACAAATTTTCGGTCTATTAACAGAATACACTCAGGCTGAATACACTGCTCTTTGATTTAGAGATGCGGCTTTTGATGGGTGTTATCAGAATAGTCATATCATTGACGACATGAGCGTCGGAGTGCTTCATATACGTCTTTGCATCAACCCACGAAAGCACTTACGTCAAAGGTCCTGGAGGTGGTAGTACTCTAGATAGCTCGAAGCGGAACTGCTTCTCAAGAAGTATGAAAATGCAGATTGCGGATGCTGAACCGGGGAGTGTTATTGGCTACATAGTGTTAAAGAGTGCACAGGATGAAAAGGAATCCATGAGAAAGAGGTTGAAGAGAGTGTCGAGGAACTACCATTGAATACTAAACGCAGTGAGGTAGCAGTCATCGACACCACTGAGTTCCTGTACGACATCCCTTCACACACGTTTCCATAGCATTTCGCACATACATCCACAACCACGCGGTGATCCAGGGCTTCGTGTCTTCACACTGGCTGCTTCATGCTACACTGGAAGCATGATCGTATTTCGCTTAAAGCAGATGCCTATCGAGGGAGTTCATACATCCTACCAATCGAGCCAAAGCTCGTGGCTAGAGCAATTCATGCAGCAATCGAGATCTTCATAGTAGCTAACGAAAAGCAACATGACGCTACTGAAAGAGATGTCCAAATGGGACATCGAGCCTCAGCCACGAAAGAAGGTCCGTAGTGACGGAGTACCATCCCCTTCTAGCGAGTTAATTAACAAGGAATCGATACAGCATCTCTATATCACATGCAGTGCGCTAAGCTACATCTTTCACCACGCCGTCGTCCTGGTGGCAGGCACTCGGATGCGTTCCCCGCCTATAAGGTTGAGCCTTATTCCACAAACATTCTTCTCATCACCAAGACTAGCGACAACCAAGATCTATATGATCTAGATCGAGCCAACCTCCTCCATTCCCACAACCCCGGAGAAGCCTCCCCAGAGATTGTCACATAACGTTGGAAAAAGGAAGGAAATAAGGGGCGTCTCGACTTGACAGTCAGACCAACACAGCCTCCCCCGGACATACTCGCCAAGACACATATGTACCACTTGCATCCGTATACCAAAGCAGAAAGAGTAGTCATTTCCTCATAAGGGTGGCACGGAGATATCTCCGCAGAACTTGGCAGAGTTTACCTAACCCAGAAGAATGAAGTTACAGACTTTGATCTGCACTGCAAACGGTACGGGAAAAGAAAAGAACAGCAAAAGAAGTCGCATCTCGGAACCTTGTCGTGTGTCGCGCAACTCCGCTCTGGCAGGCTGTAAGTAACGCTGTTGGCCGAATAGTGGCAATGTGGGTTGGTGGGATCCGGTGGGTGAGGGGCACGAATGACGTGCGCCGGAGCGTCGAGCGCCTTTTGCACAGCCCGGCGTTTTACGCGTTTTCTCCGGCATGCGAGAGGCGCACGATGGGGTTACTGATACCGATTGAATCACGGTAGGCGACAGCTCCGGGACCCGTTGACAGTGACAGCGGGGGACGTTGCGCTGGATAGGATCTTCCTCTAGATGAAGGTCATGGTTTCGTTCTCGTATCCAAGGTTTGACGTCATATGGCTCTAGATAGTGCGTATGCTCGTCACTGTTGATCGACTTTATTTTCAATCCTGGATGACCAGGGTGCATTGTCAACTGTGTACTGTAATCAAGAATCGACGATAACTTCAGTCCTCTGCAGCGATTGTCGTTGTTCGAGATGTTTGAGGATAGCTGGGAAGCTACCTTGTGACCAAAAGAGGTAGGGCCTGGCTACCATTAAGGTTGGCGTTAGAGCACCTAGTGATTTGTTTCGACACATCTGACGTACCATGATGTGAAAATGCCCCGAAACGGAGTCGGTCGGAACCCTGTGCTAAGTACAGTACACCATCTCCCGCCATCCCATCATTGCGAGCCCGCGAAGGTCATCCGAACCAGCCACGTGCAAGCGTTCAAGCCACTGCATGTAATCTGGCTACGAGACGGGGCGGTACCGACCATCCCTGCCGAGCCGGGGCCTTGAGGCTGGCCAGGCCTGGAGTGTAAGGGATATTAGTGACATGACATGCCCCTGGAGCTTGCACTTGAATGATTGCAAGCGTGGTGTTCACCGGACGGTGACAGTGGAGACAGACGACAGATGCAGGTGTGCTGTCACGATGGTCGCGTGCAGCTGACTATTATTGTTGGCTCGTTTGACTTGTCATTCTGGTTGGCTTCTCTTGCGAAACCAGTCTGCCAATGCCTGCAGCGAAATCTCGCCCGGTCCTTGATCCTTGGTCAAGCCGTCAAGGTACCGCGCAACAGATGCCGCAGTTGTATTAGCGACTGTGTGGCTGAGCCTGCCGAGTTGTCAACAACGACTTCTGTGGGTCGCTCTTTGTGGAGGCAGACGATCGTGATCAACAAAACTGGCTGCGGCTGAGGGTAACCGACGACTAGATCAGCGTTATGTTCTTGTTCCCGCGCCAAGAGATCTTAGCGGTTCCGGTTTCTCTTTCGTATGCACATCCGTGGAGTTGCCCTCGAGCGATGTTCTCCGAGTCCATTTCGCTTGGCAGCATTAGCAGACGGGAAGTAGAAGACCCATCTGGATGGATGTTCGTAATATGTCATTTTCGTGATGAAGTCTTCGATCAGTCCTGCGTCGCATGCCAAAGACCGTGAAAGAATTCTGCGCTGGCTTTGCAGCTGAGGCAAGTCGTAGCGACTGGTCACAAACCCCTGTAATTTCGAATATTGGCTGCGGCTGGCGTACGGATCATAAATGGCAGGAAAGGGTCGATGGTGGCTGAGCGGACGATCTTCGGCTCCTGCTGCTTAGTCATATGCAGGAACCAATGTCAACTAGCAGATGTCAGCTGCCGAGAAATGACAAACTGAAAATGACATTGCGCTCAGACGTCAACGTGCAATCGAAAGTTTTTCAAATACTCTACGACACTGGCGACTCAATGTGCGTCAAGTAACAAATTCACAGCGAGTGGGTAAGAGATTTAGTGGTTATAGATGGAGTGCGGACGCAAGCCGGTGTGACATCCTGCCCAACAAAAATTTAGGCTTTCGTTTGCATGAAAACACTTCTGTATCTACTCACACGCAAAATTCTTCGTGCAGAGTGAGTGGTTTGGTTGACGATGAGTCGTCAGTCGCATGTAGATACTGATATTGGCTCTGGTGGTATATCTAGTGCACGTTGGAGCGAGATTATAGGGCTCGATCTACCAGATCTCTCGTCCAGGTCTGTGGGTTTCCGATAGTATCTGATACTAGTGGGTCGCGCATATGGGATCTCAGTGACGCGCCCTAGCCGTAGCCATCCCCGGTTAGCACCACACATGTAGGCCACGGGCGAATGAGCGCTATGCTCCCTCCGAACTGGCGGAGCAATACCGATTCGCTGAGGCGTGGAAAGTATATTGTGATGATGGAAGTCACAGCAGTTTGCCATAGGTCAATGCTCCAAGACATGCAGGCTGGCGGGATCGCGCGCTTGTCTTCTGGTAGCATAGTAGCCATGTGCCATGGCGGCTTGAGTACACCCTCTTAGATTACATCTATAAGACTTTTCAAATCGACGATTAGCAACCTTAAGGCTTCTAGCTTCCGCATGACTTTCAGCTCACTCTAGAGCGCTTGTTCTCTGAATCGTTCTCTCGTACGGTTAGCGTCGATCTGACCATAGGGCATGGCTGCAGAAATGCGGGAGGTGTGATAGTAAAAC